AGATGCACTTTAGGAAATTTTAATAAGAGTGGCACCCTTATTTTAGGCTTCTCTGCACACCTCCATTAAAGCTTCGGCCATGTTACAAATGAAGTCCTACTACCTGCTGAGAGTGCATATGAACCAGCTCCAGCTTGGGACTTTATAATCTGCTTACATGTATCCTTACACATTCCACTCTTATTAGTACTGTGATAATAGGCATTTTCTGTATTTTGTTGTCTTGATAGTAAGAAAAGATATTAATAATATCATACTAGGTAGGAAACTGGGGAAAGATGGTAAATCACTATTTCTTTCCATTTTTCAATAAAGTCGAAAACATTTGATTAGCTCCTGTATGATGTTTGATGTAGTGAACTCCAGTTAAGTCAATGGTACAGTAAGGCATCTTATCTACCCTGTACTTCTAGAACAGTGGTTTTCAACCTGTGATCTGTGAACCCCTGTGGGGGTCTGCAGAACACACCTAAGGGGTCTGCAAAAGATGACTGTGATCAATCAAAAGTATGTCAATACCCACACTTACAATTCAAAGGGGTCTGCATCTTCATCTGAAATTTCCAAAGGGGTCTGCACCTCCATGTGAAATTTTTTAGCAGTCTTCAAATTTAAAAAGTTTGAAAACCACTGCTCTGGACATTTTAAGGTCTTTCAAAAGAGCCCAGTGTCTGAACCTGCAATTAATATATGTCTTCAAGATTCAAGCGCCCTAAAACCACTAGTGATTTCATTATATTTTAACACCTGAGATTGCATTATGAAATGTGACTGAGATATGTAGATCTTGAGTATCCTCTCTTTCACTGGAAAGCCAGACTGTGATACTCTTCACTATACAGGAGAATATCCTACACCCCGAGGAGTTCCATTGGAGTACTGGAACTGAATAAGAAGTAAAGATTTACAAGGTAGAGTATCATACCAAGTATTACAGTATCATAATCTAGCTCCTATGCAGACATTGTCAGCAGCCAAGGGAATGGGAATGTAATAGTTCTTCATGCATCAAAAGTTGAAGCAGTAGCATGATTAAGCGGCGTATAAAGTTCACTTACCCCTGCACTACATTATAAGGCAAACTGGTTCTAGTGCAGTATGTCTGGTGAATGCTTTGCTTTTCTTGCCAAACATTGTGTGTTAAATACTCAGTTGCTATCAAGACACACAGCCAGATCAGTAGTAGGGGTCCATGGAACAGGCTAAATTGTGGCTGGGGCCCTAGGCAATTGAGCCTGTTGTTTTTTCCTTAAAGTGGATCTGTGAGCTTGCTTTTTCTTGTCCCTTCCTTTTTCTCATTGGAAGCAGAGACTTTTCATGCTTCTATTTCAGATGTTTCTATTTCCCCCATCATGGCCAGAGGACAGGAAAGTCTATCTATCATGAATAGATAGATTTCTATCATGTGAAAATAGATTTTCACATGATAGAAAGTTTTTCTATCATGTGAAAGAATAACAGAAGAGGTTAACTTGCTTAGTGTAGCAAGTAGAAGGCTGTGATGGGATATGATTGCTGTCTATAAATATATCAGTGGGTTACACAGTAAGGAGGAGGAGGACTAAGCTAAAGGGCAATGTGGGGAGAAGAGCAAGTGGGTAGAAACTGGACATGAATAAATTTAGGCTTGGAATTAGAAGGTGGTTCCTAACAAGTAGAGCCATGAGGTTCTGCAACCACCTTCCAAGTGGAATTACGGAGACAAAAACCTAGCTATGTTTAACTCAAAACATTCATGAAAACAAATAATATGCCATGATGTCTGTGATACCTGCAGACTAGGTGATACCTAGGCACAGGAGATCCCTTCAAGCCCTATGTTCCTAAGTATTATATACACAATGGGTCATACGTCCCCCTCTAGTAGTTATTAGGATGCAGTATATTTTAAATAAAAACAATTCCAGGTAAGCAGTGCATGGGGAAGGATGAGAAGGAGATAGGAGATGTCAGTCAATCAGGCCATGCTCTGCTCTCAGTTATACCACTGTAAAACTGGAGGAACTCCCATGAAGGCCACCAGTCTGTTTGGGTAGGAACAAAATGGCTATTGCTATTGATGTAATTGATTGTTATTACTTTCAAAAGAGGTGTTGGGGTAACTTCTAGCTTGATTTGCACATCAGACAGCTACCTTGGCCTTACTCTTCCTTATTTTCTGTCTGAAGAGCCCACTTCTGTTTCTACAGTCTGCTTCACAAGCACATTTAAAAGCTATGCTTATTAGAATGCAGTGAAATAACATTTCTCTTTTAGCCCTCTCAACCATAATCCACAAAGTTTATCTTTTTGTTTAAGCAATTTTATCAATTGAAAAGTCTAAAAAACCAAACAAAACCCCTTATACAGCAATCTGGATTTAGCAAGAAAGCTTTGTCGAGTCTGGCTCAGCAGAGTTAGTTATCCTGGTTAATTGGATCGATGGTGACAGCTGTAATTACCAGAGATGAGATTGCCTGTACTGTAATTACACTTCAGTCTTCAATGGGAACTGGACTGTAGAATACATACGGTAGATTCTCCCAATTACAAACAGGTTAAGGAGAACATAGTATTTCTGTGCTAATCATGTTTGTTATTGTATAGTATAAAAATATGGCAGCATCTAAATGAATTGTTAATCTGACACAGTTTTGCTGATTCAAAGGCATTAATCCACAAACAAAGCTTTACTGCTACTTGGTTTCTGAAGATAACCACAGTAAAGAGGAACAGCAGTTTTACCCCAAAGTAGTTGCTAGCTATTCAGCACATTACAACTACTAGCATTTTCTCTGACAGTCTTGTTCACATCTGTGTAAACTATCAGTGTTTATAGAATAAAAGTTTCCTTCAAAAGCAGTATTAAATAAAGGAATAATTCGAGTGACATTAATTTTGTTTAGGTCAATCATAAAATGAAAGCTTACACTGCCCATGTGAAAACTGCTTAAAGAACAAAGAAAAAGAAATGTAGAAACTGATTATATTTGGCATTTGTTATAGGTTCGTAAGACTTCTATGGTTAACATAAAGAAAAGCAAGAGAGTATGTTTGAAAAGCTAAGAGTCCATTTGTCTGTAACTGGATGGCTTAAACATTTACTTTCAAAACTGTTCAAGACAAAACAGAAAGCATACTATTCCACTTAATGAAGTACTCAGCATTCTGTAATCAGCAACTGGAATGTGTCAGGCTTACCTGAGGGGTCGGAAGAGGAAGAATTATAGAATTCTATTATTAGTTTTTAATATTTTATTGCTGACCTCAAGCCACTGCTGAAGATGTCATAAATGAGCTGGGTTCCCAGGCAGGAGACTGCACCTGCTCTTTCTGTAAGGCATGTCACTCACACAACTATTACTGATTTTTCATAATCTACTGATTGAGAAAGATGAATGAATCTTGTTTTGGGGAAAAAGGTAATATCTTTTTTTACCCCTCCCCAAGCTCATCTATTATATGATGTATTAAAAACCACAAAGGCACAATGAAAGCAATTTATGATTTCATAAGTGAAATATTCCCCTGGGTACCACTTAAGTCTAACATATGCCATCACAAGGTCTGGCCTTCTGCACACAGATGAATTACACATCAGTGTAGTTATTTTGGTTTCTGTCCAAACATCCCATTTTCAAAGACTGTGTTCCTGTATGTGGAACTATGGGTGTGTAAAGATATACTCTTTTTCCAGCTTAACTCCTAAGGCTAGTGGTAAATCCACAACCCAGACCTAACCTTGGGCAAAACCACCCGTTTTTCATTTTGAAGAAGACAACAGGGTTTTTTTTTTTGATTGACTTCTAAAGAAATCTAGGGGGTGTAGACCAGCTCGAGCTAAAAGCAAGCTCAATTGGATTGAGTCTGAATCTATTTACAGTACTACCAATATCAGTGATAACAATTCTCACCAGGATTTTTTTTAAAGTTTTAAATTGCTATTGAAAGTAATTTTTGTGGTGTTCTTTCAGGGAGCACATCTTACCATTCCTTTTACCTGTCTAAATGCAAAAATTTTGGAGGCTTTTCTCATTTCAAGGCTGTACATGATTTCCTTTTTAATGATATTTTAATTGATTCTTATATTAATCCATTTAATCATATTCAATATCCCACATCATGTTAAAAATCTATAGCAAGTACTAATCATTACAATACAGAGAGGTTTTTCTCAGGTTTAAAATGAGACAGTTTATTATTACTCTTTTCTTTTTTTTTTGTTGCTAAGATCAATATTGTATTCGACAATAAGCCCCTCAGGCCCTGATCAAGGAAACCATTTAGGCATATGCTTAACTTTCAGCATGCGAGTATCCCATTAAGATGAGTGGAGCTCCTACCATGGTTAATGGTAAGTATGTGGTTTCGGTTGATGCCACAGACATTTCTAGAGATTTTAATATCACATTTGCAAACCAGATGGTCCTCCTTTAGTTTGGTAACAATGGAGCAAAGTGTCCTTCATTTATACTTTAATCTCAGAAAATGAGATCAAGACATTTTCAGCAACTAGCTGATTGATACTATGTGAAAGCTGAACAACCTTGTTAATTAGGCAGTCCTGCTGGAGTGTCTGAAGTGCATTGCAAGCTATAATTAAAATATAACATTACAGTGATATGTGGAGGCAACCTGCTTTAAAAAACCCTCAAGAATAGGCTTTCCTGAAGGTGCACTGCTGCACTACAGAAGCATACAAAAGAACACTGTCATGTGATCTAGCCACAGAGGTTAGCAGCTTTCAGTTTCATAAAAGGATTAATCAGACTGGAAAACCAAAGACAAAAACGATCTTTCTCTAGCTAAAGATCCGAGTATTTAGCCACTACATTCCATTTTATTTGTTTGCATTCCCACTTCACAAACACAAACAAGAAAATGACTTGTGGACTCCAGGAGGTTTGCACAAATTCACTAAGAGAACTTTTTTTTCTGGTCACATTATATATCCATGCAAGACTGATAAAAATGTCTTGACTATACTAGTACAAGGCAATGAATAGTAAAGCAATGCTTACCTTTCTGAGGGTGCTGATTTTTCAATGAAACTAGAAAAAAAAAGAAAGCAGGTCAATTTACATAATTTTATTTGCTGCAAAAACTGAGTTTGTTGCAACCCTGCTATAAAACTATACTACTGTGACCTTACTTATAACTGAAGGGGAAAACTCTAGCAGACTAACTCTTTCTGTGAGTAAGTTTTCCTCAGCTGCTTAGTAACTTGCTTAGTTTGCAGGGCACATTCCTTATTTTCAACTCACTCAGCAAGCTCAGAACAAAGCATAGAGACGGATGTGCTATTCTGATGCCATTAAGCACGTATATAGATATACTCTTATTACACTTTTGGCATAGAAATACTTAGTTTAAAATAACACTAAGATGACTGATGCTTGTTCACATCTTCTGAGATCCTGTGACTGATTTTGGCTTGGAGAATTTTTTCTATTGCTTTACTCATAGAAAAGATTATTTTGTATAATTTTTCAATAATAACTTCTTTATAAAAAGTACAGAACATAGTGATGCTAAGAAAATCTTGCAGTCAAAGAACTGTCCATGCTGAACCATGAGAAAGCATTCAGATCATTGTGAACTGTAACAATTTTTTTTTAACTCATGTGTTGATAAATTTAATTAATAATACCTTTTCTAGCAAGGCAATGGTGACACTTCTGTATACATTACCAGTTCAAATTCAACATGTGCTAGCAGTGAAAATATAATGCTATAATGCTCACTTAAAAAACTGAAAAAAGGAAACCAATGGAAGTATGTTATATTTTATTATTTATTTGTAAATGGTAACAAATGCTTTTTTAAGTTATACAGATTTACCATATTTTTACTGGCTCTGAACTTTGGAAGGAAATGCGTGTGTAATTATAGCATGTTTTCTGCATTTGTCCACTAAATTTAAAGTAAGAATAAATTGAGGTTAATCAAATGCAGTCTTGTATTTGCTTATAATAACAGTGATATGTATGCATGTAGTGTTCTGCTGTTTGTTATTGGATTTCTCCTAATTCATATATTATTTCATGCTTTGCTATTGATGACACAAAGCTTCCAGCATCTTGCATATATTAAATATAATCAAGGCATTAAAGTGACCAAAGTTTGCAGCACTCTTTGTTTACCATTATATACATACATATCAATTTATTTGTGTAAATTAGGGGAGTTTTCCTGAATGATAATGAAGCAGAGTTGTCTCTTAAAGCATCAACATGAACCTGAAATGGAAAATTTTTTTTGTTTAAAGTTTAAAATTTAAAGGCATCTTATCTCAACTTTCAGGTGTAATATGTTTTAGGATTAAACTTGTATTCAATTAAAATAATTCCCTCTGGCATGATCTGAGTTAAGGCTGAATCATCTTTATAGATTAGCTTTTCATATATAATAAAATGTCTTTACCCCTAATACCTTTGATACTTTTAGTCTGAACATTTGAAAAGTCTGTCTTTTAAAAAGTCAAATGCAAAAGCACAGGTATAATTCTTTGCTCATAAAATTATTAGATTAAATTTTGCCTTTATAAGCCTGGAACAAAGATAGTATGATGTGCTTTGAATTGAGACCATGCAAAGAACCAGGCCATCTACCAGGTTACAATGGAGGACCACTCTAGCTCTTGGGTATGTAGTCAGAAGGACATGCCAACCTTTCTATGATCTGTAAGATGAGGAGCCCTAATTTTAATTATTCATTACGCATTTATGTCCTGGGAGATTAGTACTCATCACTGTAACATGTCACAAAGCTGTCTAGACAAAATTCATTGCTACAGCTAATGCTGTTCTATTAAATAAGAAAAAACTTGTGCTGTGCCATATGGTTATGGTCAATAATAATGTAGTGTATGAGCTTATATGATACACATCTGATGTTCCTCTTACTTATACCAGTATAAATCAGGAATAAAATCAGTTAAGCCAATGGTGTGTAAAACTGGTGTAAGCAGGCGAAAATCACAACCCTTATAGTCAAGCACTGGAGGCAGGCTCCTGCATGTACAAATAGACTCAAAATGTGAAATACCTGCTGAATAGTATGTTATGCTGAAACACTGGATGAACAAAATCTAGGTGTTTTCACAGAATTTTCCTTTTAAAGAAATCGTACTTACACAGTTAAAAAAAAAAGATATATTTAGATTAAAAATTAATATTCTAACCAGTTAGTTTGCAATGAGTTCTACACAGCATCTAGATACTAATTACTGCACAATTAAAGGACTAAGGTCAAATATGCCCTCCATTAAGAGAAACAAGGAAATATATAATTTTAAAATATCAAAATTGATGGTGGAAAATATCTACAAGTCCAGAAAAAGAAGTATTTTAATAAGTTAGAATTGAGATTCCACATCTTATAAGGCCAAATTGTGCTTTCTGTACACATAAATTAGTCAATGGGTCTATTTGTGTGAATTCAGGACCCCAAATTGGCTTCCATTGCTATAATTCAGATTAATGGAATTACAGGCCTCCTTATCCAGTTGACAGCCAAAATGACCAATAAATGTATTTGATATTTTGCTTGCATCTTTGCACTCTCCTGTTCACTTTTCTGGGCATATATGTTATACCCATGCAAATGTATTCACTGTGTCTGCCGATACATTTGCAACAAAGGCCATGGGCAGATGTTCATTTGTAGAATTACAAGTGCCTTAGCACTTTGTAGAGCTACACAATAATGTTATCAAGGGCATACATATGCTCATAGCTCTCACTGCCTCCTCTGCCACTGCTGGGGCATCAGCCGTCACTGCTGTCCCCATAGCAACAGCAGCCATCTCCACTGCTACTTCCATGGGGGCAGCAGCACTCGACCCTGACACCATGCCAGCAGAAGCAGGCTTCTTAAGCTGAACTGCTGACCCCCTGGCACAGCAAAAGGCTCTGTGACAGCTCACTGCAGTGAGCACAGCTGCAGCTCCTGGCCCTGGCTGGGCTACAGCTCTGCTCCCTAGTAGGTAGGACTGTGCAAAGCTTCAGTAGCCAATTCGATTTGGAGGAGATTTGGCTCGATTCGGGGACTGAATCTCTGAATCTGAATAAAATCAGGAGACCAGTTAAAAGCTCTGAATCGATTCGAAGCATGAGAAACAATTCGGAAAAGCTTTGGAAAAGATGTGGCCGCTTTGGAGATTCGGCCATAGATTAAATAGGCAGCTGACAGCTGCCTCCAGCTGGTAAGTCTGTTGGGGTTGGCACCAGGAGGGGGCTGAGGCTTGGGAGAGATTCTGTGCTGACTCCCCCCTTGCTTCTAGCTAACAGCAGGGGGTTGGAGGCACGTGCCTAGCAGCCAATCATATATGGACTGCTGATTGGTTTCATTTGGCTGCATTTGGCAATGTCCGGCACAATGGGAGGCTTGTGGGTGAGCCCCAGCCTGCTGGCCTTGACCAGTGCAGGTGCCTGTGCCCCACCTTACCAATGGGAGAATGTGTGTTCTGTTCATTCCCAATCTATTCTTCACAGTTTAGAGAAACCCATGAAGATTTGACTGATTCCACCTCAGGCTTTTTGAATGTCTGCACCTAGTCCAAATACTGGAGGCTGTAAGTGAGAGAGGAACAGTGGAAAAAATCCTGGCCATATCCTGTTCAATCTTCCTTTCAGCATCCACTCTCTGCCACTGTGTGACATAGGCCTATTTGCCACTTTAAGGGATCATGGGCAAAAAGCCCATCAAGTGAAACTATAGGGCCCCCTCAAAGAGGGAGGCTACTGGGAATGTGGCGACTGATTTCTGGGGACAAATGATAACAACACAGGGATGGGAGTGGAGGTCAAAGGTTTATAATTAATGTATCAAGGGGGATACTGAGTCAAGCACACTGACTCAAACAAGTCCGAGGAACAAGTGGACACTACCCAGTGAAATTTTGTCCAGAGATGGGACTGGACCAGGGACAGGAAAGTGGCCTCACAGTCTCTGGGGGTCCTCCTGGCTACAGCCTCTTTCCTGGTGAGACAGATGGCTAGTCTGGTTGGCACCAGGAGGAGGCTGACCAGGAGTCCTAGGACTTGGTGGGGCCATGGATGGGAAGTACATAAGTAAACAGGTCAGGGAAGTCGTGTAGCCAGAACCTCAGCAAGAGGTCCTGAAGGAGGTGGTGGCTGCAGTCTGGTTTTAGGCATCACAGAAGGGACAGGCATTGGAGGCATCTGTAAACCCTGCCAGATACATGGCTCTATGAAGAAGCCACCAGCTGAGGTCCCTGGTGGCCTATATGATCAAGATGGAATACACACTTGTCAATCAAGGACCCTTGTCCTTGCTGAGCAGGTCCCGCCACTTGATGTCCAGGCAGGACACAAGGATAGAGAGGATGGTGGAACATGCAGACCATGAATGTGTAGAGCCGGCAGTGATGGGCGGTTTGGAAGTGGTATTGGTATTGGGACTGGTTTGGTATTGGGAACCTGGCGTGCTAACATGGTGAGGTGGAGAGGTCCATGGGACCTGCCAAGCCAGGGGCCCCACAACGACCTCTTGGAGGCTGAGGAATGGGTGGGAACTGCCCTCATGCAGGACCTGGTCGAAGTAGATGAGGGCAGTGTCCAAGAGGGCGGCTTGGATCTTCTGGAGCAGGTGGCAGGGCACACACAGTATGGGCAGCTCCATGTGCTAGGGATACTGGTCAAGATGGATCTATGGTCTGACCCAGTAAATGGCAATACTTACATTCTTATGTTAACTTTTGTAGTGCTGCACAGATGTCTGTAGTGCTAAAAATGTAACATCTGTCCATGGCCTCAATTAGTCGAATTTAAGATACATCTCTGTTCAAACATTGTTGGATCTACCCAAATGAGATCAAGATTCTTGGATCCTTCTGTATATATTACACAGAGCAGAAAGAGACCTAGGTTAAGAAATTTTGGCACTGGAAGACAGAGCATGAAATCGTAAAGCATTCACAAGTTGGGTGCACAGAGAGGACACAATCTGATTTACTATCTTTCCATTTTATTATCAGAACCTTTTTGATATACAAGCTACTGTAGCTGCAACTACACAAGTTTTAAAG